CTGGTCAAATTAAAAAAATAAATGAATGAATAAATAAAAAAAATAAAATAAATAATTATTAAAAAAATCCTTTCTTAAATCCTTCACCTTTGGATCTTGTTGTATCAACTCATTAAATGGATAATGACCACTATGAAATTCAATGTCCAAAACCCAACATTGTATTTATAGGACTCTGAACATTCAATTTGCAAGAAAGAGTATTAGAAAGCATATATAAGAATCTCAGAAGAATTAATTATTAACTTAGCAAGACCTAGAAGTAGGATGAAAAAAGAAAAAAAAAGCTCTCAATTTTCCTATTATATAAAGGTTATTTATCTTAAAAAAATCTATATCTGCATTTTTTAAAACACATTTACACGCACACACACACACACACACACACACACACACACATGTATATATAATTTTAAAACCACCAGGTCATAGACTCAAACCGTGGTCTACCATGTGGGAGTCCAGCACCTTAATCACCACACCACCTGCTGACCCTAGTTTTATTTACTTTTAACTACCTAATATTATTATAAATAAAAATATTTACTGATATTTATGTCATTCATCTAATCTGACTCTGTGCTATCAACTATGCATAGGATTATTTCTTTTAAAATTTTAAATAATGAATCAAGATAGATATTCTCTCTCTCACTCTCTTTTTTTTTTTTAATTTGCCAGAGGGGGCATATGCTCACCTGAGTGAGACAAGAGGGGTGGAGTAAGTTGGACAACACTCCCCTTGGGGAACAGTCACACTATAATCTCTTCTCCTTGATCTATCCCTCCTTTTGGGGTGGTTGGGACACATGCATATGCACCCAGTGCATTTTTCAAAATACAGAATCCTGGATGCATATTACACAGACATGTGGGATCCAGCCCCTTAACCACCACATCATTGCCTAGTGCAGTAAGTATTCCTTATGAACTGCACTTCATAGGATAAGAAAATGGCATCTGGGGAAGGCTGTTTACTATGTGCTAGATACAGCTGTGTGCTTTGCAAAAAGATCAACTCAATCCTCAATATAGCCTTGTAGAATAGGCCCTATTATTATCATCATTTTAGAGATTAGAAATTGTGGTTCAGATTCTTTAATATACAACCTATGGTCATATGCCTTTCCAGTGGTGGCATCAAGATCCCACCCTGGCAACATGACCCCAGGGCTATCACCTCAACCACCACAAGACATTGCTTCAGTACAATGGCAGAGTAAGACTGATCCCACAGCCTGCAGTCTTAGCAATTTGCTCATATTATACCTTTTATAATCATCTTTTTTTTTTTTTTTTTTTTTGCCATAGGGTGTGTAAACACTCTGGAGAGAGACAGACAGAGACAGTGAGAGGGAAAGTGAGAAATCACCCCACAGTGGGAATGGCCTTACCACAAGCCCTTCTCCATTCTGATCCTGGGACTTTGGGCTCACATGTCCACGCTTCCAGTGTGAGTTTCAGGCTGTCAGGTCCAGGACTCAAACCAAAGTCAACCATGTGAGATTCTAGCACTTTAACCACCATGCCATCTGCTAGTCCCTATAGTCTTTATGTTTAAGAAGGCAAACAGAAACTCAAAGAAGATAGAAAATAGGTCAGGGTCATATTGCTGACCCACACATACACTTCTAAGCTGTGCTATTTCCTCTTTATAATAGTTAAAAGTTACCTTTACAGGAGGCAATCAAACACAGTGGAATGTGAGAATGACTCACACAGGAAGGTTATGGGTTCATGTCCAGTGACCCACATTGGTAGGTTATGGTTCACGTCTAGAGATCTCCCAGAGTACAGTGGGCAGACATGTCCCATAATCAGGGCTCAATGAAATGGGTGGATTGTGGTGTCAGGACTCTGTTAGGGGTGCTGTCTGTCATCTCTCTCTCTCTCTTGCTCATGTAAGAAATAAATAACATTTAAAAAGTCACATTTATTTATTTTTTTTAATAATTATTTATTTTATTTTTAATTTGACCAGAGAGAGACAGAGGGTGAGAGTGAGAGAGAGAGAAAGTGAGAAAGCAAGCCACCAGATTCAGGACTCGAACCCTGGTCGGCCATGTGGGAGTGTCCAGCACCTTAACCATCACACCACCTGCTGGTCCTAGAAAAGTTACACTTTTAAATGAAAACTACTAAATTTTTATACACAGATAGTTTATTGAAAAATTAGTGGAAAATCATTTTGCTACTATGGAAAGCAGCCTGCAAGATTGGCAGGTCTACTATACACTGGTACTTTCCTTTGAAATTCATTTGTAATTTTTTTAAATGAATGATGTTTTCACAAAATGTATTTGAGATCCACAAGTGTGCTGAGTATGACATATTTAGAACCTTCTAATTTTCCTTAGGTTTTTCAAATGTGGACTATCATTCTGACATTAAAATTCTGCTTTTTCAGACAGAGACCCTGGAATCATAAAGAGCTGCAGGCTCCCATCTGATCCAAATTCAAAGGCTTTAAATGAATTATTACTACTGAAGTCAGGATACCAAGACTTAACTTAGGTGACCCAAGAGCTTAAATGTAATAATTATAATTTTGTTTTGCTGAGTCCCAATGCCCCAGAAAAAAAGTGCTGAGGTATTTTTATTCAAGGAAAGCAAATTGTTGCAATTATTTACTTTATTTTTAAAAGTCATACATTTTGGCCTAGCCATTAAAGTTGCTGCTCCACAGGTTGAGGGCACATGGGAAGCCCAAGTGTCATTCTTAACCTACCCTCAGAAACAGGGCTCTGTGGGAGGTTGAGGCAGGAGGAGCATGACAGGGTAAGACCCAGTCTAAAACACCACATGCACACATGCACATACACACAACCGTACAATTAGTAAATAGATGAACTGACTCATATATAGAGTGTGATGTGAAATTTTCTTATTAGATGGCTTTATTTACTTTTAACTACCTTTCATTATTGATAATAATAAAAATAATTACTGATATTTATGTCTTATCTAATCTGAATGTGTGCTAAAAACTATATACTAAATTATTTCTTTTAATCTTTTTTTTTTTTTGGAGAGGTTTTTGCTATAGGGTGCGTGCGCTCACCAGAGAGAGACAGAGAGACAGAAAGCGAGAAATCACGCCCCAGGGGGGATGGCCACGCTGCAATCCCTTCTCCTCCATTCTCCTCTTGGGATCTTGGACACGCACGCACACACGCCCAGTGTGAGTTTTAAGCCACCGGATCTGGGACACGAACCGCGGTCGACTATGTGGGTGTCCAGAGATATAGTCATTACGCTAACTGCTGGTCCCTATTTCTTTTAATCTTTAAAGCAATAATCAAGGTAGCTACTCTCACTCTCCTCTCTCTCTTTCTCTTTTTAATTTGCCAGAGGACACATGCACTAACTAGAGAGAGATGGGGGATGAGGGGGAGTGAGAAAACAATCCCCATGGGAAATGATCATGCCATAATTCCTTCTCCTCCATTTTTTCCTCCTTTCACGATTTTGGGGACACACGCATATATGCCCAGTGTGTTTTTTCAAGCCAATATATATATAGTCTCCATTCTTTCTTAATTAAAGTAAATCTCTGTTTCCTATTCACAGAACTTCCTTTCTGTTAGACTTACCACTTTGCAGGATGACAAAAAGGCAGACATTACTAACAGGCAGTGAACAAAACTGGAGACACAGCATGACAGACATATTTCTAAACAATTAAATCAGAACAAGCGAAGTGTGCTATTTTTATAACTGTGTGGTAGGACACAAACTTATATAGGACATACTGTGTATTTTAATACATAAAAAATAAGTAAAATAGTAAGTACCATGTAAAAGCAAAGTACAAGTGTACTAATTACATAGGTAATTTTTTTTTTAACCTAGAAACATAAGCCTGTCTGTAGGAACTTAATATATAAGTTACATTGAGAAAGTAATGTCTTAAAAACTTAACTAAACTTTTATAACATGCCAGGATATGTAGTAAACATACAATATACATCATCTCTTTTAGTATTCCCAATACTACAGAATGGACTATAATTCCTATTTAACAACTGAAGAAAATGAGATGAAGATATCTGAAGTAATTTGCTCACAGTCATACAGCTGGTAAGTGGCAGAGCTGGAAATTCAATTCATATCTGTATATCTTTGACTCTAAAATCTGCCCTTTTAATAAACCATTATGATATACTTTCTCCCAAGGGTCACAAAATTATTATCTGGAAATGCTATAAAATTGAATTTTTTTAATTGCCAGAGGATGCATACATTCAATCACCAGACAGAGACAGAGAGAGCGAGAAAGCAATGGAGTGTGCTCATGCCACAATCCCTCCTCCTCCGATTTTCCATCCTATTGGAATTTTGGGGGAATGCATTCACATGTGCCCAGTATATTTTTCAAGTCATTGGACCAGGATTTGAACTGTGGTCTGCCATGTGGGCTCTAGCTCCCTCAACTAGCAGGCTACAGACCCAGCCAGTGAGAATTATTTAAAAAGATTAATATTTGTACAATAATAGAAGGCTGTCTGGAAAGTCATGAAGTACTTTTCTGTTTTTCTATGCAAAAATGGCTTTCCCAGCATCCCAATAGTAATAAACACAGGAGAACATTTGGTTTTTATCTTGCCTTTGAGAAAAAGTAAGTTAACTTTCAAAGGGCTCAAATATCTCAGAGAGAAAAGGAAAAAGAGAGTAGATGGAACAAGATTATATTGGAGAGTTTTCTCAGACTAAGAATCTTAGAATATTAGACTCAGGCCTCCATCTTCAGAATGAAATATCAATCCAAAATCAATGTATGTGAGGTCTCTAAAAAATCACCAGAAAGATAATTTCTGTATATTACTAAGAACTATACATGGATTTAAATTCTCCACATTGAAATAAACTTGTACTTTAATTCCACTTTTCCAAACACTTGTTGAAGCCTCCTCATAAAATCACCACCCATCCAGTGGCCTTCATTATATACTTCCAAGTGTGGAGGCCTGTAAAGAAGAGATGAAGAGAGACCGCCTTACCTATAAATGAATGGAGCCACTGTGGCAGTGTTGGGGTGACTGTGCTGCTGCTGCTGGGGGAGGTGGACAGCACCATTTCCTGCACTCTGCCCACTGCTTTGTGCCACTGGGATGGTACAGGAACTGGAGGGAGAGGCTTGGCTAGCTTCCCTTCCTTCCAAAGGTGCAGGACAGTTGGATGTGCTTGCTTTCTCAGTGGGTATGGGCTTAGGTATGGACTGGGAAGGGCTTCCCTTGGTAGTCCTGAATTTTTCAGATTCCTTGTTTGCTGTGTTGCCTGCTGAAATGGTTTGCTTTGCAGTTGGGACCTTTGACCCTGGTTTTGGAATCCCACTGGAAGATGGAATTAGGCTTTCCTTCTTGGCTGCTGTTGTCTTGCTGCCCTTGGGGATCAAGCTTGCAATTTTAGAGGTCTTTTTTGGAGCTGTCTCCACCATCTGATCCTTCTCTTCTTTGACCAGTTTTTCAGTGCAAACTTTGTTTTTGTCCCTGTTCTTTTCCTCTTTTTCCTTTGGCTGTAGCAAAGACTTTTTATTGCTGAGATTTTTGCTTCCAGCTTTTGGAGGGGCCAATTTAGGTGACACTTTGGGACTGCTATTTGTTGAGCCACCACTATTCAGACCACTATTAAAACCTTCTATTTCACCCGATTCAGAAAAGGCATCATCGTCCTTCCCACCATCATTCGGTCCTGAACTGGGAGGCTGTGGGGGACGTAAAGCAGTCCGGGCATTGACCAGCTTAAATTTTTCAAGCATAGATTTCTGTCCTGAGGGAGCAGTTTTGACTCCTTCTGAGACAGGTGGCTTTAGTCTGTCTGAAGATGGTGTGGGAGAGGTGGCTGGACTCGACTGCTTTATAGTCAGCATAGTAGAGGTGGCACTGTGTTTGACATTCATGGACTTGCTGCGCCAGGGCTTGCTGGTGCTAGGAGAAGGGATGGCAGAGGCAGGGGGCTGTCCTGCAGTGCTGGAAGGCTGTGTGTTACCATTGACACCTGATGATGGTTGAGGTCCTTTGGAGGAATCTGGACATGGTCAAGAACAAAAGAAAGATAAAAAAAGGTCAATTAGTTTGTTCATTTATATCACAGCACTGGGTACTTCCTAAATAGACAATGGAAACCTCTCTCTTCTGAACTGAAAAGAGACTTGGTAGGTGACATCGATCAGTTCCGTGATGTAGTTTGTTTGTTTGTTTGTTTGTTTGTTTTACTACAGATCAAAAATGCAGTGTCTAGGGAACCAGCAGTTAGCGTAATGGCTATGTCGCTGGACTCCCACGTAGTCGACCGCGGTTCGCATCCTGGACCCGGTGGCTTAAAACTCACGCTGGGCGCGTGTGTGTGCGTGCCCAAGATCCCGAGAGGAGAATGGAGGAGAAGGGATTGTGGCGTGACCATCCCCCCTGGGGGGTGACTTCTCGCTTTCTGTCTCTATGTCTCTCTCTGTCTGTCTGGCGAGCGCACGCGCCCTATAGCAAAAATCTCTCCAAAAAAAAAAAAAAAATGCAGTGTCTAAGAGGCATTGACTTAAAAATAAATGCCCTTTGTGCTTCTGAAATTACTTTTACCCAAATGAATTTTGCTAGTCAAATATGCTTAAAGACTAGCAAGTGTTAAATAAAACACTATCTCTCCCCTAAGCAATTTTCTGTATTTTTTTTCTGTCACTTCAGTTCATACCAATTAATGGGTATTCTACATTGCCTTATAAAATATATGTTGTATAATGAATATTGAAAATTTGCTTTAACTATTGGGAGCTCAACTAGTTGTTTTCTGAATAAATATGCTTATAAATTATGATTTATATTTTTGTTAGCTTTATTCATTGTTATGTGTGTAAGATGATCATTGAAATACATGCTTCAATGGGTCGGATAATCTACTAACAAAGGTATCTCTATCTGTCTATTTTTATAACAGTCCTACAAAGTATGTATTGATTTAATCATATCAGTTTTACAGATAAAGCAACTGAGGTCAAGGGAGTCCAACTCTTCAAGGTCATACAGCTGGATTTATACTGATTTTATAAACTGTGCCCTTAACCATCTCACCTACAACTTCCTGTAGTGATCTGAGAAAATATTAAATTTGAAAAGAAAATCAAGGTACTTTTTGAGAGCTAAGGAAAATAAATTATTTTGTCAAATAAATACATTACAGCACACTAGTGTTTGCTTCTGTCCACAAAGAATTCACATTACCAGGTGAGTTTTTAGGTGACTGTGCCAATGTTGAATAATGCTTGATTATACATTTTATTTTTTAAAAATGAAAAAGTAAGTAAATATAACATGGTATATAATTAAAAAAAAAGAACTGAGCTTAGAGTTGAAAGACCTCAGTTCAAATGTTTTTATTTGGGAACTATATAATTTGGTCAAGTCATTTAACTTAAGTTTCATCAACCATAAATGCCTCTCTCTTTCATCTTTCTTTGGTGGGTGAGAGAGATTAATTATTTAATTTGGTATTACTAACATATGAGGTACTGGCAAAAAGATGCGAAGTTGTTTTTGATAAAACCCTCAATTAAAATATTTTATAAAGAATATCCTTTTCACAATACTTAGAAATTAGAGCTCATTAATGTAAAAGTATAATACTTTTATTTTTAAATGTTTTCTTAGAAGAAGTGAAAGAATATGATAAACAATATGCATCAAGCCAATTGGTAGCTAGTACTAGTCTTATTCAGTTTTCAGAATAGGAACTTGACATACACCCAAAGGAAAGAACAAGTTAACAAGCTAGAGTTAGGGAAAAAGGTCAACATGTCAGTTGAATTTTTGTATAAGTTAGGCAGCTTTATTTTATTTGACTTTTTAAAGAATTATTTATTTAACTTTATCTATTATGATGATAATTTTAAATGTGCTACAAGGCACATGTTCTCACCAGAGAGAGAGATAGAGACAGAGACAGAGAGACAGAGAGTGAGAAAGTGAAAAAGCAAGCTGTCAGGTCCAGGACTCAAACCACAGTCAGCCATTTGGGAGTCCAGTGCCTTAACCACTAGGCGATCTGCTGGTCTCTAGCTTCCTTTATTTATTTATTATTACTCCTTTTTTAGAGAGAGAGTTTTACTATAGAGTGCATGTGCTTGCTGGAGAAACACAGAGAGCCAGAGAGATAGACAGTGAGAAATCACTCCTAGGGAGGACGGACATGCCACAATCCCTTCTCCTCTATTCTCCTCTTGGAATTTTGGGCATGCATGCATACACACCCATCATGAATTTAAGCAGCCAGGTCTGGGACTCGAATTGCATTCAACTACATGGGAGTCCAGTGATGTAACCATTATGCCATCTGCTGGTACCTAGATTGATTGATTGATTGATTTGGAGAGGTTTTTGCTATAGGACACATGTGCTCACCAAAAAGAGAGACAGAAAGTGAGAAATCACCCCCCAGGGGGGATGGCCACACAGCAATCCCTCCTCCTCCATTCTCCTCTTGGGATCTTGGGCTTGCATGCACACATGGCTGGCACGAGTTTAAGCCACCAGGTCCAGGACTCAAACTGCGGTTGATTACATGGGAGTCCAGCCATTATACCTTCTGCTAGTCCCTGTTTTCAGATTTTTTTTATGTTCTACTTTAACTTTTTCTTTCATTGTTAAGTAGCTGAAAATTAAATTCATTAATAGAATGATCTATGTATGGATGTATTAAATTTATCTCTATAGAAAGGTTGAATTTAAATTTTGAGAATCAAGCCATTATGCTAACTGCTGGTCTCCCTAGATTTATTTTTTAAAAAAATCTTTCTTAAATAATATACTAGAAACTGAAATTTATATGAACAATAATGTTGTGGACAAATGCATTTTAAATATTTTTTTCCCAATGAATTGGTATCATTGGTACTTTTTGAGAGCTAAGAAAAATAACATCTTTTGTCATATAAATACTTTACAACATTCCTAACATTAACTTATAACTCTTGCTATTAGATTGCCTGGAAAGTAATGACATATTTGTCTGTTTTTCTATGTAGCATGCATCATAAGTGGGATTAGCGATGGTGTAATGGTTAAATTGATGGACTCTCATGCAGTTGATTGCAGTTCAAGTCCTGGACCCAGTGACTCAAAACTCATGCCAGGCACATGTGCCTAAGATCCCAAAGGACAATAGAGGAGAAGGAATTGTAGCATGGCCATCCCCCGGGGGATGATTTCTTGTTTTCTGTCTCTCTGTCTCTCTCTGGCGAGCGCAAGCACCCTATAGCAAATCTCTCTCTTAACAAAAAGGAAAAGCATCCTGACTTTCCTGAAAACCGAATACTTCTATAATTCCTCATTTCACCTGTCAAAAGCTGATACTAATATTAACAGTATTAGACTGTTACTCTAAAATAAAATGTAGTTATTCATTGAAAAGTCAAAATGCTTATATGGTATATTGAAATTTTAAGGCACATAATGATACATTTATCTTTTTTTCAATGTTCATGTAAAACTGTAAGTTCATGTTTACAGTGTTTATGGAAATTCATTACACTTATAAACAGGCATTAAGTTATTTTTAAAAACAATGGGTGTATTGGCTGATTCAAGACAAATCCAACCAGCTTCTGAACTTCCAATTATTCTAATACATTAATTTTCTATGAATGAATTCCAATTTTTTTTGCTTATTATATGTGTTATAAGTATAGGTAATTGCTATTTTAAGTCTATTGAAAGATCTCTTTCATCATAACTTGAGTGGCCCCTAGAAGTAGATAGAGCATCCCAACTCCCTACAGGTATGCATGTGTACCAAATACTTTTTCAAATTAATTACTCCTCATTGGTAAAATCTCAGGTTTGACCTCACTTCCTCTAACAAAAAAAAACCAAAAAAAACAAAAGAACGATCCTTCCTACCTCTGACCATCATAGCATCAATCTGTGTTAGGTAACTTTTCCACTTTCTTCCACAGTGCACTATTCCTCCATCGTAGACATTATTACCCTCCTGTAGTTGCCTGTTTCCTGCACTGCACTGTACATTTCATGAAAGCAAAGACTTTGTCTGCACTATCCATAATTTTATACTGTGTACATGCTAGCATTGAGCTAAGCATATTACATTTATTTATTCAATTAATCCTCTTAACAGCAGCTTAAAGTTCTCATTATTTCCTCTATTTTGCTCATTAAAAAAATAATAATCGAGGCACAAAGAGGTTACATAATTTCTCCAAGGTTACATAATGTGTAGGTGCTCAAATTGAGAACTAAATTTTGCTTAGATTCTAAGGTAAGCCTATCAGCAATATTATACTATTTCTCAAATGTGGAAGGATAAGTTTAATGAATTATTGATTATACTATTATTCCTTGGTTATAGAAGTAAAGAAATCAGTCACTATCAAACAATGACTATAATAGGATTATAACGTGAACATTATATCTCAAATACCCAGATTTAATTGGGAAGTATGAATTTTTCTCCAAACAAAATAAATTTTCTCAAGTTCAGTGAATTGCACACTTGTCCACACATTTCACACAGTGACCTCACTGTTTTCCTGAAGTGTATCCAAAATAAATGGCTTTACTTTTTTTCAGGAATATTAACCAATGCTATTTATTTCCTACCTCCCATAGAACTCTTGGTATTCAATCTGTTAATATTTACTGGATGGCTCAACCTAAGATACTTCAAGATGATGCATTATAATACTGTAACAAAATAGCAATAAAATATAAACACCACCACAAGGTGACAAATATTAGGTCATTGGGAAAGTCATGATATATTTTTCTATGCAAAACTGCATCATGCATTAATAACAGCCCAATATTAACTGCCAAATGAGTAGCTTGTGGGAAAGAAAATGGCAGAGAAGATCAGAGCTGCAAGCGATCAGAGGAGGACCACACAATAAGATCAAGACAGATGATAGGGGCCAGCCCCATACACCATGGTTAAACCTGTGTGGAGGGAGCCAGGTACCACACAGCAAACAGACATTGGCACTTGACCCCTGTCTCTTCAAACACACACAATGGGCACAATGTGTA